CCTTTATACTCAAAATAGGTAAGCACCGGCTCCCATCCGACTGATCGACCAGCAACTGTCCACGTTTGAAAACACGGCGTATCAGTAAATGAGGTGGCTATCGTTGGTTAGAGAGAAACACTAACCTGTTACCCATACAACTACTGCACAAATGATGAATGTCCACGTTTTGTGAGATCGCGAGTTTTCAATTGAAGTCGTTTCGATGTGAATAGTCGAAGGTGTGAGGATTTGTGGCTTGAGATAGCAGACCTTCTGTAACAGAAGATTTGTAGGAATGATCGGTTAGGACAGAGATAGTGATCGAAATGGTGTAAAGGGTGGTGATTGTTGTAATGGGGGATGTGTCGGAAGGGTTAGTAAGGAGAGATCGTGATTGAACTTCAAATTGGTGTAGTAAGGGTTGGGTGGGTATTCAGGGAAGCGTGGCGTTAGTGTAACTGATAGCCTCGGGGTATCCGAAAGCGGACAGCGCAGCACCCAAAAAACCGGAGCCAGAGTAGTAACTCGAGGCGTAGCTCCCGGGTCTTTGGAGCCCCGGGTAGTTAAGCGGTAGCCCCGGGCGCCGCGCTAACGCGCGCTGCGCGCTTCTGGCTACGCTGCGAGCCAGACTTGCTTGCGGCAAGTACTCACGCTTATATATCTTGACCGTGCAATTCCCATCCCCTACGAAGCCTGGTTGATTGCCGCTTCTACGTGTCCATGCTTGCAAGTAAAAATGGCGGTAAGATGGCGACTCAAGTTGTTCCTGGCCCGCCCTCAGCAACCGAAAGCAAGAGTCCTTAAAGGTGACGATCCAAACGGCTCGTTGTTCATTTATGGGCGGTACCTTTGGGTTTTTGAAGCCGTGCGTTCCTGGCCATGTCGCGATAGTTGGGTGGCGGGGAGTGGTAGAGAGGAATGGCGTCGTGCGTGTTGCTTTGACAGCGCACTGACGGACGTTAACATATAGTTAAGGACTTGGCAGACTGCGGGGCTGAGGAAGCGGCAGGCTGTGATTTTTAGCGGGCAACCCGGGTCGAGTCAGTCTGGTTGTCACGCAGCAGGCGGGGTCGCATGGAACCAAACTCGATGAGAAACGATCGCTCTCAGTGCATATTGAAGCCTCATCCAAGACGGATCCGGCCCGCCTCCTGACATTGGCAGGCATGCGATGGCACACGCCGGTTATTTTGGTCGCAGTAGAATTTTGATGAATGTACGAATATAGGCACTGGCTAAGAGATTACATGGTTGGCAAAATCAGTAGGATATATGCACGTGATGCGTAGGAAGGCGTTGTAATACAAATCAGCCTGGACTGCAAGTAACTACAAACACCCACGCTAAGCAGTAGTACATTGACAAAGTAGTTTTGTAAGCCGTGCTAAGGTTGCGTTTGAAATAGGGTGCAGTCGGCATTGCGTGACCTTGCGATGGACACGGCTATGGATGTCTGAATGATCGTTGCCTCCTTACGGCGCGATTTCTCAGTATCCGCCGCACGCTCTCATAAAAATGAGGCCTGTTATAGATCAATTGAACCTCGGTGGTCTGTGTGAGGTGGATTAGTTAGTATCGAATTGACTGTAACATAAGCAGAAACCTCACTTCGATAACCCAGGTGTTATCCTGTGCGTTGTACTTGGAAAAATTTCCTCTAAGCACAATGATATTGCCGACCGACAAAGCGTCGGGGCTTAAGGTCGAGCCAAGAGTGTGGTTGACGACGTAGTGAGCGTGGAAAACTATACGATGCTTTCCCTGAGTGGGATGATATCAGTAAAGGGGTTGACAAATGAGGATTGATGTACGTACTGTTGAGTCGCGGCCTTCGTGGAGTACTTTGATAACTTCGCTAAGATTTGTTGTATCAGGCACAGGCTGTGATGACCACTCGACAATGCGGCCGATTCCTTGGGCCGACACTTTATTGGCCACAGCATCAGGCATAAATTGAGCATGCTGAAGAGCAATGGTACTGCCACCGTCTTCGAAAATGGTGGCGACGCTTCCAGCTCCGGCCGCTACTGTACCCTCAATCCTGTATGCATTATGAGTTCGAATGCTACTCTGAGCAGCATTTGATGCTATGAGAATACTGACACCTCGGGGTGATGTGGTATTGACTATAACGTCACTGTTGAAATGTGTGAATTTGGGGGTTGGCTCGGCCTCGGAAATTTCAACCTGACGCGAAGTATGGCAAGACTCAGCACTGATACCTGGCCGAAGACAGGTGTACTCACTTGCGATTTGATCCAGAATAAACTGCTGAAGCGTAGTGGGAACCGGGTTGTGGTGTGCGACTCCATTTGAGAGAACGATGAATTGTAGATGCGTGCTGGGAGGAAATGGACACGGTGGGTTGTATAGTTTTGGAGTCGATAGATGTGTAGAATATGTTATGAGGGAGATATGCCTATGGAAAAAGACGCATGGTGGTTGAGAGTGGAGGATGACCTCAAGCATCATAAAAAGGGACTGTTGAACGTGGCGTGAGGGTTTGATGCTTGGAGTGTTGAATCGGGCACCCAGCCTAGCTGAGTCTGAAGCGTGAAGTGACTTCACAGGCCAAGCCGTATGAGCTCTGGGCGGTATGACGGCGTTAGGCAAAAAAGTTATCTGGTCGGGTTTCGTGGGTTTCGGAACCCAGGACGGCGTTTCGTTAATACTTGTTCAATGATCTGATGGCTAGCAAAGAGCAGTTTTGCCTGATTGAGTGTCGATGGACGGTGGTGTCGATCCAACGCCGGCTCGAAGTAAAGCTTTGCTGAGTTTGTGTTGGTTCGAAATGTATATTGCCAATGCCATGGAGACTGCATGGATGAAAATATGACATACGGGTTGTCAGCATGGCACATGTAACAGGCCCTGAGTTAGACCGGTAGATACTTTGGGTTGTATGTGTGATGTATTGAGTTGAGCATGCAAAGAAATGCATGACGTATGGGGTTATGGCATGGCACGGGGAACACTGCTCTGTTGTTAGGCCTCGTGCCTTTATATTATAGATCAGGGCGAACGAGTCAAATTTCATACCAATTGGCTAATCAATATGGAGATCTCAGCACCTTTACTGGGGGATGCGCTGACACCAGGCAATGTAATAGACTTACGCGGTAACGTCACTAGCCATTCGTCGTTGGACAACATTTGGGAAATAAAGGTCAGTTCTTCAAAACAGTCTCTCACACGCGCAATGCTGATGAGTCCTTGATTTCAGGTATCTGAAATTTTCATGATTCATCGTGTACCCAAACTCAGACGCAGCCGACGGCAACGCGGTATGTGTGCCTCAGCTGCAGATTGATTCCGCATCAGGGACACAGTGGCGTAGGACATAAATGCGTTCCAGCATCATGTGGATGAGTGCGCGTTTGGGCCTTGATCGCGCGGGCGCGTTTGTTGTGATCCAGGATACGATTTCAAAACAATGTAAATAATGTAGTAATACAGTTTCGATATCGAATGTATCTGCCATGCGATCCAATGCCGTTACCTCTGTAGCAAAATAATATGTGTTACCATCATTTCGGAATGTGTGTTCGAGTGGCATGTTACCCCGTGTAACTAGGTGTCGGCTAAGGTAATATGAGTGGCCTGCGCTGCAATCAGTGTCAGGCAGTCATGTTGAGGAAATGTACGGCTTACTACGATGATCCAGGTGTCTCTCCCTTCCGAAAAACCTCGAACGTGCCCCTGGATTGTGACGTTAGCGCCGATTGATATGTTAGAATCGGTGATACCATCTAGCAACAACCTGTTGCATATGTATTCCGCGAAGAAGTACCCAGTGCAGAGACCCTATCAAATGCTCAGGTTAGCACTGGTCATAGATGTGGGTTCTTTAAGTCTCACAGAGGGGTCCCAGTCTTTGTGCTTAACCAACAATGACGTGTCTTGCCACGCCTCACGGAATTGGCGTTCTTCGACGCGTCCTCGCGATCTGACGGCGATGTCATCTGCGATGTCGCCGAGCCGAGGATATAACACAAGACTAGGCGGTAAGGTCGAATAATCCGGGAATAGCACAGGTGGATACTGATGGAACCGATTGATTATCGTGCCGCTGACGCGGTAAGAAGTGCCACACGACAATGCGTTGGTGAACATGTTGTCCGCAATCAAGATAGTTTTCGGTAGATAGGAATCGTCCGATACGATAATAGTCGCACTAAAGTATCGAAGCGGGTTGACTGCATTGATACGTCCAGGTATCTGCATTGTAATAAGTCAGAAAATTGCTAATAATGTCATGCAGGCCGACAAACCGCGTTGTCCAAACGGAACACTCCTGTCATGTGAAGACCGCCATCCACGGTAGGAACTTGGGAACTCATTGTGGTAAGGATCGCTGATGTCGTCGAGCAAAACTAATAGTGCGATGGCACAGCCACCTAATTCCAAGGTGGCCTGATCGGTCAAATAGGCCACCAAGCTAGGTGGCCTTACCTTAAAAGTAAGGCCACCTAGGATTTAGGTGGCCCCTCCATCGCACTATCAGTCAGTGATAGTGCGATGGCATTGTGGATTGGTCCAGGGGTGGCCTTACTTTTAAGGTGGCCCTGGACCAATCCACAATGCCATCGCACTATCACTGAGTGATAGTGCGATGGCACAGCCACCTGATTCCTAGCTGGCCTTACTTTTAAGTACAGGCAACACTGGCAAATTAGGTGG